GGGAGACAACGACACAGATGGACATGGATGATGACACCAGTAGGGACAGGTGTTTCCATGGGAGCCTGAATCTTGCTCTCTGCTAAGCTTTGAGCCACGTGATTTCACAGCAACACGTCAAAGCACACACATCACACGCTTAAGGCTGCCAACAGGTCAGCACCACACAAAGCAAGAGGTAGAGGAGAATGGAAAAAGGCACTGCAAACTGCAACCAGCACACAGAACCACCTCTATCAGCTCTCCCAGCAGCCCAATGTGGCTGTCGGTGAGGGAGATGCTTTCCTCCTGCAAGCAAGGGAGAGCCCGGTTATGGTTGCCAATCACTCTGCCAACACCTGCCCTGCCTCTCCCACTGTCTGCCTCAGGATAAGCTCTGCTCATAGCCTGGAGCCTGGCCAAACTGGCCCTCTGCTCTGGTAACAAGGGGCCCAGGAGTCCACCTGCTAGCAAGGCCATGATGCTGTAGCAAACTCCCAATCTCCCAGTCTGCACGTGCATGTTATAGGCAAGACTGTGACATCAGCCCCCAGCCCTGGAGCCCGGCCTGCACAGCACCTCCACGTTCCGCACAGATGGGTCAGGGGCCTCATCCGGCCAGTCAGGTAGCTCCTGGTAGCCCACAGCTTTGGCATTGAGGAGGTGCGAGAGCGAGCCCAGCTGGAAGTGGTCCCGATCTGTGGGAAGAGGTAGTGGTCAGTGGGTGGTTATCATGAGGACTGCTACTTCCCCCAGGCTGCTCTCCTCACCCCCACAGGGCATTGCTTGCTTCCAGAATAGATCCATGTGTGCTTGTCTATGTCCCAGCTCCTCCCTGAGAAAAACAGGCTTCTCTTTCCACAGCTCAGTCCCCAGTGCCAGACTCAGATGCTCAGTCCCCATAGCTCCTGCTCCACCCAGATGCTGGCTCTCTGTACCTTTGAAGGAGGACTCCAGGATGGGGGCGGGCTTCTGGGCCAGGAAGAGCTTCTTGGCGTACTTGTTGAGGGCTCCGCTCTTCTCTGTGGGCACGATGAGCTGGCGGATGAAGCGGGCCCTGTCTCGGATGTCGTAGTTCTGGTCGTACTTGGCCAGGTTCAGCACGTACTGGGTCAGCAGTTTGCTCTGCACCAAGGACCACTGCTCTCAGAACCTGCTCTGGGCCTGCATAACTCTGACCAGTTGAGTGGACTAAGCCCCCTCCCCATGGGGATTCCCCTCACTCCACAGAAGAGGCCTGGAGTCTAGGATAGGGGGTTCAATTTGCCCAAGGTCAGGGACGAAGTGATGGGAGCCGACCTTACTAGGTCTCCAGATTGCCTGGCTCTGCCCATGCACACACACACTATTGCTTCTCATTTATGCCTTTGGGCTGGGCCTGCCCTAAGCACTGGGCCCCTGGGCCCCATTCTGCAAGGTTTTCAGCACCCTCCACTTTGTTTAGGGCCTAGTTTCTCTCACGGTCAGACCCACCACTGGCATGATATAGTGTGGCATGGCAACTACCATAGGAGGTTTCTTTTAAAGAGGAGTGCCCCAGTGTGCCCAGAAGCCAGGGAGGGGCCAGGCTCCCTGCAATGCCTATGCGGAGTGCCCTGCTCTCTTGCTCAGAGCAGGGACTTGTGGATCTGTTCCAGCTGGCAGGGTGGGGTCATGGACAGCAGTAACAATGTCCGGGCAAGCAAAGGGTGAGGCTCCTGCAGAGGTCTCACTCATAGCTGAGTCAGTGCCATCGCCTCTGGGTGCTCAGAACCTACTCAGCACAGAGCCTGGTGCTCCTGGGAGCTGTTTGCTGCCTTGGAGCTGGTTGGGGCAAGGTGCTGGCCCAGCTCCCCCTTTACCTGCTTGGAGTTGGTCAGGTAGAGCTTGGCTGCCAGGTTGATGACCTGCAGCTTGACAATGTCCTCCTCATTGGTGAAGGACTTGGCCATCTTGCGCAGCACATCAGGCGCGATCTTAGGCACGTGCTCGCAGTACTCCCCAATCAGCCACAGGATGCTGGCCCGTGCCATGGGCACCTGCAGACACACACATACATACAGGGCACTGCTCACCCCAGCCCAAACCCTCCTTACTCACTCACAGTCACTGAGCCCTGACATTCAGCGACTGGGCAGTGCAGGCCCTGGAGGGTCATATGGAGGCCAAGAGCATCCCAGCTCCACATGGCCATGTCTGTGCTGATGCCTGCATGGCACAGCCCATCTGAGGCCTGACTACAGCCTACAGATGTTCTCCTGTTGGCTCTGTAGGCCAGAGTTCCTGCTAACTAACCCAGCCAGCCCCTTCTCAGGCTGGGCCCTGCCTGGGAGACATGCCTAAATGATTCCCAGAATCCTTTGCATTGTGCACAGAAAATTCTGGGACCCCTCTGAAACCCACAGCTGCTCATGACTGAAGGCACAGACCCTGGGAGGCAGGAACAAGGCAGAAATGTAGTCTGTCGGGAAGAGTTTTGCAGCCGTTTTGTAAGGGGGTAGCATGGTGGTCTCCATGCTGCTCCAGATATACTGTCCTACATGGGTGCTTGCCTGTGTCCCCATGGAGAAAGCCAGACAACAGGCCTGCAAGGTGCTGTCACTCCCAAAGGACACACACACACAACTTGGGGGATTGGGCCTTCCCAGTGCAAGAGGAGCCATACCAGGGAGCAAGTGACCCCAGCTGAGGTGGTACTGGCCTCACGAATCAGGGCCGGTCCCTCTCAGGGTGGGTGGGAGGCCACACTCAACCTGGCCAAGCAATGCTGGCAGAGGAAGGCCTGTTCTCATAGCATACAGGAGGATCTGAACTTGAGGCTCTGCAGAAGCTGAGGGACCCAGTTCACAGCCCCAGGCATCCAGTTACTGAGTCCAGGCCCCATGGGGTATGGGCCCCAGAAGCGGGGTAAGAGACAGCAGGCAGCAGCCTTTCCAAATGAGAGCAGTGTAAGACACAAAGGACAGTGCATTCTTGTACTGATCCCTGGGGTGCCTGTGGACCCAGCCCCTCCAGAGTCACTTCCCTAAAGCTGGACCCCCAGCCCCACAGCAGCGAGGACAACAGAGCTCTGAGCTAGGCTGTACCTGGATGTTGTCAGTCAGCTTGGCCATGTGCTTGATGATCTCACTATGCTGAGAGGGCTGCATCTGCAGCAGCTTCTTAATGACGACCACAGACTCAGCCACGACCAGTTCTGTGGGCAAGAACAAGCCCCACCCCACCTCTGAGTGTGGAGAGATACCCCTGCCTCCACCAAGATCAGCTTGGGTGAGACAGAGGCCTTCTACCTATGAACAGAGGCAGATGGTGATCCCTCCTGCCACAGACTCATGCCCTGTGAGTGGTGGAGACAACCCTCTCCTGCCAAACAGAATGAACAGAGGACTCCAACCCCCTGAATCCGTCATGGACTCAGCAACAGTCAGCCCTAGCATGAGCTGTACTTTTTTCCATTGAGGCTCTGAAGAATTATATTGCTCAGTGGGAACCAGCTTGGGCCATGCTCTGTAACACTGTGATGCCAACAACACCCAGCTGTAGGGCTTTAGTCAACAGGCTGTTTCAATCAGAGAAATAGCCCAGCCTCCTCACACCCTACAGGAGAAGATGGGGGCCTGGCAGCCACCACTGGTTGCTAGATCTTCCATTTTAAGGTCTGCTAAGCCCCGTGTCCCTCAGGTGCCCCATGGAAATGTCTGTCCTCTCTGCCCCTCACTGTTCCTCTGTGGCCGTGCCTCAGGCCCTCACCATCTCTGTTGGACAGGAGCTGGACCAGCCCATTTAGGCAGGTGTCTCGGACCTTCCCAATGTTGGTGGCGCAGCGTCCGATGGCCTGGATGGTGGCTGCCACAAAGTCCTTGTCCATGCTCCGGATGTAGGTCTGGGGACAGAGACAGGGCAGCTTTATCAGCATGTATAGGGGCAAGATGCTGCAGCAGCATCTTCTGGCACTGGCCCTGAGAGCTCAGACTAAGTGGAGCATGACAACCACTGTGACCAGCTGCAGGAATGTAGGCTGCTAGGAAAGCCCTGTTCTCACATACACTGTGTGCCTGGGAATCACCTTCCTCCCCTGGGACTGGTAGCCCCCCAGACCTTCTCCTCCAGGGGAGTTTTCATCCCCAGTCTTAGGGAACTCTAGCCAGCTGATTATTATGGACCTATTCACACCCTGACAACACTGAAAAGCACCAGTCAGGATCAGGCCTTACAGTGCCGGGTGCTGCACATACACACAAGATCCTGCCTCATACAGCTCACAGGAGACACAACAAAAGCACACACAGGCTTTCCCCCATTTCTCACAGAAGTACATCCATCTCTGCCCCCAGGCTGCAAAACCAAAGCAGCCAGATGTCGACTCCTCAGATCTGGTGGGGAAGAGTGGGCTAGGCTGGAGAAAAAACCCAGTTTGCAAATACAGCTGAAACCTCCAAGGACCTTCACAGGATTCCTTGGTGTTTAATGATGAACATGGCAACAGGCAAACCCCCCTGAGCCCACCCAGTCCAGCCAGCCCTCGCGGTCCTGGATGCTTCTGTCAGGAACATTCTGAGAGGAGCAGGTTTGGGTTAAATGAGTGGCACTGGCTTTCTGTGACCTTCTGCTGAATGGCCAAAGGCTCCAATGTGGATCTCTCAAACAGGTGCCACCACGGAGCTGTACTTTGGTTTCCACTTTACTGGGCATCAGTGAGGTTTCTCACTGCAGCAGGCACTGGGATCTCCTGCCAGGTTGTGAACGATTCCTCTCTGTCACCAGTAGGTGGCAACACATACAGGATCCTAAACCCCTCTGCTTTATTCCTGCCCTGACAGCATCCCTTCCCTCTCCGTCTCATTCACCTTCCAGAGAGCAGAGCTCTCCCATGCCCTGCTCCGCCAGCCAGCCCACAGGCCCACTGTACCTGGAACTCACGCAGGATAGTGGAGATGTTGGTTTCATTAGCAAGGTTCGTCAGAACTTCCAGCTGGGAGGAAGGGAAACAGGAGGGAATGAACAGAATTACTTTTAAAATGGGAAGCACTGTGTGTGTGTGTGTGTGTGTGTGTGTGTGTGTACACACATGCATATGTGCACACATGCATGAACCCACCTGTGGAAGTGGCACATGGCAGACGTACTTCCCCACATCCTCCTATCCCCAGAAAATGGCAGATACTTCCAAAGATCATGGAAGCATCAGAAACCACCTGGTGTGGCCATACTGAACAGGTGCTCAACACACAAGAGACAACCACTGCCTACAAGACCTACGGGCAGAGGTCTCCTATGGCAGGGGTGTTTCAGTAGCTTGATGGTCAGAGAGGCCTATGGCCTACGAAGGAGGTACTGTACACTGAATCAGAGGTGGTTCAAGCACCTACTTTGAATGCCTTCAAGAGGAAATTGGATGTTTATCTTGCTGGGATCCTACGACCCCAGCTGACCTCCTGCCCTTGGTGCAGGGGGCTGGACTCGATGATCTTCCAAGGTCCCTTCCAGCCCTAATGGTCTATGAAATCTATGAATACAGGCCAGGTGCCCCAGCACTGGACTCACCTTGAGGATCTTAATCTGGGTGGGGTCCGTGGACCGGATGTAGAAGCTCTTCAGATAAGGCTCGAACATCCCCTGCACAGACAAAGCCAGTGGCGTTAGCAGCATCCTAATCCCCGTACTGGGCACCACCTGGGGTCAGCCAGGGGCTAAAGTTGAAGAGCTAGCAAGAGCATGAGGTAGGCCCAATGAATTTAGCACTGGGCACTCTGGGAGCCAGTATGGCAGGAGTCAGGGAGGGTACCACACTGGCATACCACAGCAGGGTTCCTACACCTGGTGCCAAAATTACTCAGGAGGAAGGGACCAGACACCAACTCCAGGGTCTTGGGGCAGGTCAGCTCCTATCCACATACACACAGCTCCCAGCCTAGCTCAACTCATGGGGGGAGGGGGGGGGGGGGGGGGCGGAGGGG